ACTCTTTCCTTTTTGTGTTAGAGGCTTTTCATCCAGACTAGCATATGGTGACTATGCTGAACATAAGCGTTGCGGTAACATAGAAACATGGTTCATTTCTAGTCTTAAAAATGTATTTGCAAATGTAAAAAATACATTTTGTTTCGACAAATGAGGCGTTTAAGAGGAAAGTAGCAAATGTCAAGAAAAGAGGAGCAGTGTGTCGAAGGGTTGGCCAACATAATTTATACATGTTTTACTGACCATCATAATTTGTCGTGAAACACAGAAATGTTCTATTTGCATATATTTGACATAAAACCTCAAATGTTGTCTTGACTGTTTAAGGGGATCCTTTAAGCCCTAGTAATGCTTAAATACCTAAATAACGGATGTACATAACTATTTTTTCTAGCACTCACAAATATGAAATATAGTGGGTCTAGTATTTTCCTCATAAATCAGCTATGGTAATGCTTCCAGTTCATTTTTAGTCTGTATCATAAATAACAGAGCTGCCTGTGCTTGCTGTACTAGATGCAGATTCTCAGTTCTTTAAGACCACTTAATCAAAAATTAGATGCACTTTGTTTAAATTATTTCTTTTTCAGTTACTTTCAAAACAGAGGATTCCCTAAGTCTGCCTGTGTTAGTAGGCAGCTCCTCTCTGTGTCAACAGAAGAAAAAGAAGGGGGGAGGGGGAGGGAAGGATAAAAAAAAAAGAAGGCAGTGTCCATTTACTGGTTGGGTTTTGGGGTTTTTTTCATAACTAAGGGGCTAAGAGCACTGAATACTATGTTCCCAAAATCAGAAGTTCATTTTAAAACAAAATCTTTGTGAGATAATACAGATTTGTATCAGCTGCTTACAGTACTTCCAACATTGTCAGTAGTCAGAGGAGCATATAAGAAGTATAACCTTTAGAAACTAACAGAAGCAGCCTAGGTGAACTAGTAACTTTGAAGTGTCTTTCCATTTATTTATTTAATAATTTCTCACATATTTATTTAATTCTCATTTACTTGTTTCTCACCGGGCTGTAGCATGGAAAAGCTATTGGTGCTAATGCTGTCACGTTAATAGTATCATAGACATTTTACCATCTGTTTTGGATTGTGTGTAAACAAATGTTTTCTCTTTAGTTTCACCTTTTCATATGTTTTCTTGCTAGTTTCACTTTACTGAATTAAAAGCCCAGTTTCTCTGATACTTCAGCATTATGTAAGATCTCATTAAACCCTCTGTTTTGATCTGGAAATGATGGTTAAACTTCTAATTTTCCTCCCGTCAGCTTCAGGCGGACAAGCTGACGGCTCGTGAAGAGAAGCGCGTAGCCCACTGGGAGGAGTTCATGGAAGAACAACAAAACAAACGAGCAGATGTGGACGAAGAGCACAGAAAAGCTATGGAGCGCCTCAAAGAGCAGTATTCGGAGATGGAGAAGGAACTGGCCAAATACGCTTCTTTTTAAGGCCTTTCTTTTTTAATAATGCTGGGTTTGTGCCAATACTCAGTTGCTTCTGACTTAAATTGAGATTCTTTGGGAAAGCTGAAACACGTAAGAAAAAAGGAGAATTTGCTCTACAGGTTTGGTATGGGAAGAAAAAGTTTGCGTACTTTCAACTCAAGTGCCTATCTCTGCTCATTTTGTTCGGGGCGGGTAGAATGCCAGTATTTTGTCATTCGTTGGAAGGTGGAGCTGGAAATTACGTTGTGTGACTACATCAGCTCAGGGAGTTGCAAACTGGAATTCTGTCCCATCTGCAGAGAGTATCATGTCGTTTGGGAAACGAGAGACTAATGTAATACTAACTATCCCAGTGTGCAGCCACAGCCCATTCCCAAAAAGTAGGTGTAAGAGGTTCCAGCCATATCTGAGAATTCACTGGGAAAATCTTAAATCCTGTTCATAGGTTTCAGGAAAACCGACTCGCTTTACAGAATACTTTGAATCTTTAGCAATGAAAAGTCTCAACAGAGTTTTAAATCCAGTTGTAATTCCAAATTTGGGATTGCACACTCAGTATTATGAAGTAGAGTTGAGATTTAAATGGTTTTTGCTAACATGGAAAAGGTAAACGAGCTTGGACAACAATTTCTTTTCTCTTCCTGTAAATGTCTCAGGCCTCTCTTTTTAAGCTTTACTGTTCTAAGCAAAGCCAAAACAAGCTCAGAAGTAATCATACGGAGCATATCGGTCTTTGTATTAGCTTTGTCGCTAGTACAGTATTTACCTTAAACACTTGACATGCTGCTGGTTTACTTAGGATAAGCTTGTCAGAATTTTATGAAGCAATTGAGGAAAGATTTTTGTTTTGTTATCAGCATAACAAATGAGCAGATTAGTGGTAAAATCCCTGTGGTACTGATCTGCTTCCTTACTGTTACTCTTATAGGGTATATGGAGCTCTCATATTGCTTTCTTTTATTTAAAACTTGCAGTTAAGAGCAGTGTAACTGACGAAGTTGACTTAATCAGTTCATTAATGAAGCAAAATGAGACATAGTACCTTAATGAAACGTGCTGCAAGCTAACCGTCGGTACAGGAAATAATATCTTTCCATAATTTAGCTGGTGTCCAATATAGAATGGAAACAGGTAAAGATAAACAGAATTTACCCTTTACCTGCATTGCGGCAGTAATATGCCAACAATGGCTGCTTGTGTAAGTTTATGGCTTGGTGTCAAGGCTCCGTTGCTGGCAGCATGCTGATAGTGTGATTCAAGTTAGTAGAGGAGATGGAATAAGTGTTTGAGATTTCTTTCAATAACACTGAATTCCTGCCAGGCTGCTCTGCCCGCTACTGTAGGCCCAGCAGCTCCATCAATCATCGTGTATCTGGGCTGAAAAGAGGACTTGCCGACACTGGGGCACGCTGGAATGTTGTTAATTCTCTGTGGCGGGTGGAAAAAGCGTAGATGTCTCAAAAGTATCCCGCACATGAAAAATAGGAAAGCCTCTTTTAGAACAACCCCTGTTTGAATAGAGGGTGACCTCTGTAATATTTTTCAGCTTATGTAGCCATGATGAATGTTGTAACTAAGCTCAGACTTCCATTGAAAAAGGAAAAATTTAGTTCTTGCCTGTCTTTAGAACTGGGTGTGGAATAGTTTTGATTGTTTTGAGCACAGACTGAAAATGGTTTCTCTCTTACCAGATTATTTATGTCTATGTGCTGAAAGCCCAAATATCTTTATAGCAAAATGCCTTTTACTGCATACTGAATTAATTTTTATTTTTGCACTGATAATTTTTATTAAGATTTATACATCTAATTAACTGTGCACTGGAGCTGTAGATTTCAGTATTTTGTCAATTTGAGAGCCCTTAAGCAGTGAATCAAGTGTGGCAAGTTGGATGTTTACTGGAAAATAAATCGTTATTTCCAAAATCTTCTGGGATGTGTGCTGCTGATTCTTTGGAAAGAGTCTAAATGCTAACACTGAAAATGTCTTCCTCATCTAGAATGATACAAATACTTTCATGTTGAAGATCATTTCAAAACACTTCATAGTCATATGTCTCCCTGTCGTGGGGGTTATGTGAAAACCATCCATTGCTGAATCATTTTATTCAGTAACTTTCATTTTTTTATATGATATGCTATAGGTTCTGATGTTCTTGGAAATGTTTCATTTTCTTTGAAGCAACAGGCTGATGTTTACAGGAAAACCTATTTTTTCTGTCCAAATGCTTAAAAAACCCCAAACAAACCCAATGTGTCTAATCTTATCTCAAAACAGAACACATCTGACAGATTAAAAAAAAAAAAAAGATTCCTGTCTTCAGCGGGTTTTTAGCAAGGTGGGACTATGGTCTGTCTGGACACCATAGTGCTCCACAGTGGGACTTTCTTTGTAGGACTCAAGTTCTTGTTATTCAAAAGCCTCTGCCACTGGGGAGAAATAGAAAAACAAATAGTTTAAAAGTCAATTTATGTCATTGGTGCATGAAGGAAGTGGTTTACCTTGTCCTTGCAATATTTACATGACTGGATCCCATAGTTTAAAAATCTTGAGAGTTCATTTAGTCCCTGTTAGACCTGATAGAAGTTTGCATTGGATTCCAGTAGGAGCTGGAAAGGGTCCTCAACACTCGAGTGAACTTCTAGCATGGCAGGTGCGTTTTGCAATCGTCTTTGTACCCGATTGTGCAGTTAACTCCTTGCTATTAGTGCTGTTTATTACACTGAGCTGTAGGTTTAACAGTTCTTCTTTGTGACTGGAAGTGGGTTTGTGTGTCACATAATCACTGGAATATTATCATAGTCTTTCTCTTTGAATGAATGCATAGCAAGAAACTGGTCTCTTCCTTGGAACTGCTCTATGAAATCTGCTGCTGCTGTGTTTAGGGGTAATAACAAACTGAGGAACTGGAGAAATATTTAAGGGATTTGTTGTGGTTTTTTATTCATTTGTTGGCTTAACAACGAAGCTACGTGCTGTTTTCCTCATAACGTTTATGTCTAAGGCCTATCAGATGTTTTTATTCTTAGGAAGGAGGGAGAACGCTGATTTATCAGCTCTTACTCTGTTTTTCTCTATGCTAACTCTAGGTAATGCTTTTTATAGGAAAGATCCATGATCACAACTGGAACATTGAATCTTCTCTGATATTTTAATTTATGGCTTGTTAAACCTTTCCTCAAAAAGTGCAGAGTTTTTTTCAGCAGTCAAACTAAATAGCAAATACATGGCATAATCAGCCAATGAATCGGATCATACACGTCTCAAGGCTATGGATGTTGAGATTTATAAACATTCCCCGGTAGGTGTCAGTGCAAGCTTGAGAAGGGAAGTTAGCCTGGTTTTATATAGGGGTAGAAGGTGAAAGCTTATGTGCAGTTGTACTACAGTGTTTTGTATAAATAGACGGCATCTTGTGGCATTTAAGTGAAAGGTGACACTAGTTATCAGCAGCATTTTGTCCCATTAGTCCTCAAAAAAGCTTACAACAGGTCACTCTATTATTTGTGTAAGGTGTGCTGATCTGAACAATGTTGTCCGTAGTACTTGTACATTCTAATTAAGATTTGTTATCATCTGAATTTAGGCTCAGTGTCAGAGATGAAAACCTACAAAAGCTGCATTCTTACACTGTTCTTCAGTTTAGTGGATCAGGTTTTCTGCCCCCGAGGCAAAAGTTTATGCTTATTGATAAAGATTGTGCCATATTGAAGAAATGGGGACTTCTGCAAAAAAAATTGTGACCAAAATTATCATACCACACACTTTTAAACAAGCCAATTATTTCTCATCATTAAATTCTCAAAGTAGTAAACACAGTACGCCCAGTGCTGTTGGTGATAAACTTTATGGTCTGCGTGCCAAGATACAGCAGAATCTGCAAGAAGATGATGGGATTGCAGCTGCTGTAGTAGGATTTTAATGAACAACACAGCTTTCGTAAATAGTTTAGTCATAGGATTATTCAGAAATTCCAAATAACAGAGACATTTAAAAGAGACGGGAGAAGTCAAAAATGCTTGAATCCATTTTGGGGGCAATTAACAAAGGGAGTTTTATTAGGGTTGAAAGGAATCTTTTAGAAAAACATTATTCCATAAATATATACCTATCAGTTCTGAGGAGCGTACAGTATTGCGTGCAGTCCCATTGCGGCTTATAGGCAATAATGAGCGAAGTAGGAACAAATTTACTCAAGACAACGGTGAACACTAGGAAGAAGAACGGGTCGCAGAAGGCCTGCTAGGGCTCAAAGCTGTAGCTTTGAAAATCCAGGGCTCAGGTTTGTGCTTTCTAACTAGGAGTCTAGTGGAGCTAATCCACCCAGGTTTCAGATTGCCTTCTGAAAATGCTTTATCTGGGCCAAATCAGAACCTGAATGGTTCATGTTTTTATTTAGCATTTTATAGACGGTGAAGAAAAGCTGACCCTTTCAGTATGGACTTTCAAGACAATTGCACTGAAGGATGGATAATACCGTGTTTTGAAACTAACGCTAAATAAAACCTTGTATTTCCTCAGTCTTCTCCACTAATGACTCACTGGGTGGATCCAAGGAGACCTGCAACTATCATCGGGGGTTTTAACAGACGTTGCATTTAACTTGATGTCATGGAATTTAGTGAGAACCAGAGCACTATTTATGGCTTACTGACATTTTGAGCTGGATATAATCTATAAATCTATCCAGTGTTTCATGACATATGGTCCTTATATTCTGTGTTCTGGAGAAAAATAACCTTTGCTTTTGCCACAGCAGACGCTGCAGGACTTGGATGAGCATTTTTATTGTCTTTGAGTTAATTGTAAAATAAATTTGCAAGCTTGCTTTGCAGAGCTTGTGGAGTAGTACCTGGCCAGTCCTCTCCCGAACCAGGATATGCAAAAATACCTCTTGCTGTAACCTGTTCTAGAATATGCACAGCACTTTTCAGTAGCTTCAGCTTTGGGAAATTCAGTTCCGGATTGCTTGAGGTCATAGGAAGTCCTTTATGAGTGGACAC